ATTAATACTTACCATATATATCAAATCCACGATTTTCATGGCAATATATGGTATATATCTATCTATAGTTAAAATCGTTTGCTATCTGATTTTTTTATATTTATTTTGAGAATTTTAAATTTGGTTTCTAAATTTAAATATAATTAAGTTATTTATCTTTTAAAACTTTTTTAATTAGTGTTTTAGTCAGGATAATACATAGATTAAATGTTTATTATATAACTAAAATTTATAATAAATTATATATAAAAATAAATACTATATGTAGATATATAAATTATACTTAAAATTTGTATAATTTGATTTTTAAACATATAAATTATATTTTAGATTTATGATAAATAGTATATATATATATATTAGTAAAATAATATTTTTATTTATTGATGATTTATTTTGAAAGTATTGAAATTTAATTCCTAAATAATTATGATAAATAAAATTTAAATTAAAAAAAATAAAAATCCTCTCACTGAAAAAAAAAATAAAAATATTTTTGTACAAGATAGTTGTTTTTATTTAATATATAGAAGTTAATTCATTTTAAAAATATTAAAATTTAATTCCTGATTAAAGAAAAAATGAATTTGATAAGAAATTAAAAAATGATAAAAATTCTCAAATAAAAAAAAGTTTTTAAAGAGACTCGTGTGAATTTAATCCATATTGGTTGATTCTTTAATGAAAAATTATTTTTGTTAATAGCTTTTCCCGTTAGACGAAACAAAATTATCGTCAAGGCTTAAGCTTTAATTGTATGATTTGAATGAGATGATTAATATTTTTAAACTAGAAAGCATATTAATTTGATGAAAAAGGTTCCTAGAAGAGAAAAGTATCCCATGTGCAAAAGAGGATGGAATCTCAACCCCTTTGGCCTACAAACGTGGAAAAGAATTAATAGCCGGCCAATGAAATTTTAGGGAGAGAATAGAACTAAATAACTGACTATGGACTAGATATTTGTTTTTGTAAGAAAGTAAAAACGGCAATGATTGTGAAACGAACATGGATGCCACCAAGGGCAAAAGTGTTGACAACGTAGCCACCCACACTCATCTCAACTCTCAACTATATAAAGTATAAACAACACAACATCCCACCAACAAAGCATCAAATAATCTCCACCAAAATGAGGCATTCCACATCCACGCATTCTCTAATAGCTTTGTTTCTTTTGCTAGCCACAACCAATGCGACGGTTGTAGTCCCTAACAGTGCTCAAAAGAAAGCAAGAAGCTTCGCAAGCCAATTCCTGGTTCCCCAGAACGCGGCACGTGCGTTGGTGAGGCTGCGGCCGCTGGTGTGGGACCCCAAGCTCACACGCTACGCCCAATGGTACGCCAACCAGAGGCGCAACGACTGCGCCCTCCACCACTCCAACGGGCCTTATGGTGAGAACATATTCTGGGGCAGTGGCACGGGCTGGAAGCCCGCACAGGCCGTTAGCGCTTGGGTTGAAGAGCGCCAATGGTACAATTATGCCCAAAATTCTTGTGCCGATGGGCAGATGTGTGGCCACTACACTCAGGTTGTGTGGAGGAGCACCACCAAAGTTGGTTGCGCCAGCGTTGTGTGTTCTGGTGGTAAGGGTACCTTCATCACTTGTAACTATGATCCTCCTGGCAACTACTATGGAGAAAGACCTTATTGAAATTAAAACACTCTAATTATATATATTCCCTCTAAATCTAGAGAGGCTACTGAGACAACCAATAATGTCATGGGATCCTACGCTCGCTTAGTATTGTTTCTGTTTACCATGTGGCCCTGTCTCACGTACCTACTTTCTATCCCTCTTTTTATTGCTTGCCTAATATAAAATCTAATGTTATTCAATGCTTGCTGCTAGCTTCTGCTGCTTTTCTTTTTAATTTTACTGTCTTTTTTTAAGCCTGTATAGAAAAGTAAGTTGAGATAATTGTTGTCGCCCATACAGGTAGTTTATTTGCTAAAGACACTTCTATCTGAGTAACGTATAATCATTATACGCGAGTATTTGATAAGTCATCCAAAGTTAACATCGTTAATGTAAAAAATGTAATACAGAGAGACTAATTTGGTATAAGAGACGCTGCTAGGATTAAAGTGAAATGTTTTAAATTTGAAAAGAAAATGAGAGATAAAACTTAAATTCTAGGGACCTCTCTCTCTTCAAATTAATAAAACAGACATTTGTACCTATCGAAGGTGGCGGTAATGATAATGATTACACGAAGATCTTTTGAGTGTTGAACTAATGAATAATGATTTGTTTTCGTAACTAAACACAAAATTTACTTTTTAAATTTTAAAATACAAATATTTAAAATTGAGTTGCAAATGAATTAAACTTTATTTTACTCGACCACATTCAAACTAAAAACTTTCGATAACTCCGAACATGTCCTAATGAACAGAGTGTTTGGGGTATAAATAATCGGTTGTGCAAAAACTAACAAAAAGCACAAACTAGCCGCAGGATAATTAAGGTACTAAAATGGCGCGGCAATGCAAGTCAAGTAACTCCGTACTATGAGACAGACAACTGAAGCTGGCATAGTTGACAATCAGATACAATTCACATGGGAGGATAAATATTTTAATTCACTCTTGACTCAGTTTAAGTTCAGGAAACAGATCCCTGCTACTGATACCCTTTTATTTCTTGGACATTGATTTATTGTCCCAAGTAATAATTAATTATTAAAGCCAATCCCATTATTATCCCACAAGTATATACATACATACACTCGCACAATTTATACTCACTGCTAAGGAGTAAGGAGTGAGGAACAAAATTCACACTCAAATAAGCTAGCACTATATATATATATTATCCAATACTATAGTACATGAAAGGCCACATAGTCTAATAGGGTCGCTCTCCAACATAATTGCCGACGGGATCATAATTACAAGTCATGAAGACATCTCCATCGTCACACACAACCCTTGCACATCCAATCCTTCTGGTGCTCTTCCACACTATCTGAGTGTAATGGCCACACATCTGACCCGGCACACAGGTATTAGTGGCGTAGGTATAGTATTTCTCTTCATCAGCCCACACTCTGACAGCATCGCTTGGCGTCCACGTTGAGCCACTGCCCCAGAAAATGTTCTCTCCTAGCTTGAAACCATCTTCTGGGAAAGAATGTTCCAGCTTGCAATCTCCTTTCCTTTGCCCAGCCCACCACCTCGCGTATTGCTCCAGCTGGAAGTCCCACATCAGTGGAAACTCCCACTTGGCTGCTCTCACCAAGTTGTGCCGGAACAAAAACTCTAGCGACTCCGCAATGCAGCCCCAGCATAGCTGCTTTGAAACCTTGTATATGGTCTCATTGTCAGGCCTTTTCTGTTGGCTTAGTTCAGGAATGGAAGACTTGTATTTGGGACTAGTCGAGAGACTGTTGGCATGGCTACTGAAGGTGACAAGGAGGAGCAAAAAGAGGACCAAATGGGTTTCCATGGTGTGTGGCACAAAATTTTGAGTAATGTACCTTCTTAATTTATATGAACTTGCTTTAAGAATATGTGGTTGGAGTATCGCGAGTGTTGGACACTTGCGATTTAGGTGGCGTGAGGAATAATCGCCTATTCATAATTGTGTGCTTAATATTTTAATGTTAATTAGTGCTTCTAAATGTACTAGATTGTGGTTGTGCTGTGGAGATGTAGAGCGTCAGCAAAGCGCATGTGAAGTGTGAAAGTGAGAAATGTGCATGGCATGCTGTGATCGATGATTGAAGGTTTTCCCGTGAGCAAGGTCTCTGTTGTGCCCGTGAGTTCTCTTGTCCGTATTATGGGACCTTGTTGCCCACCATAGTATGTTCTAGAATTAACCACGTGTTGCAACTCAACTCCCAAAGCATGTCCACATGTTTAATGTAAAAAACTATAGTAGTTTACAAACTTGTCCATAAAATTAATTTGCATGTCACCACTGAAGTCCGTATTCAGTTGTCCCCATGTTTGGTGTAAAAACCTAGGAGTTTACAAACTTCACAACATTAGTAGAATAACTGCATTTCGCAAAAGTTTAGACAGAACGAGCCATTAATCATTAATTTATAACATTACTTAAAGAAAACAGAGAAATCATTTGACAGAAGATATCGTTGTGCACAGTTATGCAAAGTACTCAAATCAAATCTTATCCTATGATTTTTCGGTAGTATCAACCAGTGCAACATTGCATGTCTTTACAGTTGTGTTTGTTTCAGTGTGATATTATCATATTTGTTATAATTTTCATAAAAAAAAATATTCTTAAGTATAGTTGATTTTCATAAAATTAAGTGACAAGGTCAGTGTTTAGCTTGCTTTTTTTTTATTTTTCTTCTCATGTTAAGAGGTATGTTACACTCTTATGGTTGAAGCTATAAAACATGAGTGATTGATTTTCCCAAAGCTTAGGATTCAGGGTTCAGATTATTCGGTGTGCCTACCAATAAAAAAAAACTATTATGTGTGGTGTGTAATGTGTTAATCAATTCTACTATGTTACTTGGGGATAATGATAGGGCTTATTAGTGTCTCCTTTGTTTCTGAATCAGTTGTTTTTATTCAAATGGACCGCCGGACTGGACAGACATGCTAAAGCGTATAAAGCGAGTTAGTTGGGCTGAACTTTTAATCTAAGTGAGCCACTTGTTGACCTAGCCTAGTTAATCGAATCAAGTCAAATTCATTCATTTATTTATTTTATTTTTATCTAATATTGTATAAATGAAAGACCAATACCATATAGATTCAACCTAACCTGTTTGAAACCAGATTGGCTTTTTTTTCCCTATACTGTGGTGATCTCCTATTTACATAGAAGTCTTCTAAGCAGCTATCAAGAGGTTCAACCACAAGATGATTAGCCTTTCTCCTTGAATGGATAGATACCTAGCACTGAAATTAACAGATAAAATGCGTATAGTAATAGTCTCCCTTAGACCATGAAACCCATATTTTAGGAATAAACATCATAATGATCATAAATATCAAGATTCATGAGTCTATTAATGATAATAATAAATATGACATAATTTGTGGAATCATAATAAGAAACATGAAATTTATCTCTATAACATCATATTAGTATAAGGGGAAACAATTAGATCTAAGAGAGTCAATTTTTTTTATAGACTCACTAAATATTCTAAGCTTGGATAGTAACTAGAACTTTCTGGAAGTTGTTCTCTATACCATAATATTTTCAAATCTAATATTCAAGAGTCGATTTAGCATGACCATCAGACCATGGGTTGAGCAGACAATTTTGATAGGTCCAAATGTTTGTTGAGGATTTTATATATAAATAAATAAATAAATTTTTTTATAAAATAATTGTAAAATTTATATTATATTATTTTTTAATTCTACTATATAACAAAGACATATTAATTATAAATATATAAATTAATTAAAATCATATAACAAGTAAAAGTACAATTCCTGTAAAAAGTAAAATAAAAGTTCAATTAAAAAATTAATATTATCTTGAACTTTAAAAAACACATAAAAGAAATAACTTTCTACTAAAAGAAACGGACGCTTATAAAAACAGAGGGAATAACTGCAAAAGGATCTTTTGTTTGATAACGGATACCACAATGGCTTGCCATATGCATATACTTTAGTGATTAAATTTAAAGGCATGGAGACTTAGAGGAAATTACATGACGTTGGTAAAACAAATACTAAATATGTCTTGGTAGCCAATTATATGGTGATGAATCATGCCTTGTCTTAATTTACCGACAGGATTGAATACTGCCAATTGGGCATCACTACCAAGTGAGCATAATACGAGTGCATCGAAGGAATTATATACTTCAGTATGTCTTCATGCACTTGCCATTTTTTGATAGGGAGCTCTATTTTTTAACAAAACCATTAAAATCGTCCCAAAATTTATTTAGGTTTAATAGTCATTGTAGATCGTGAAAGTTTTTAAACCACCGATTAATAAAAATCATCATTTATATGATTTTTAAGATAATAATTATATATTATAAAAAATTATTATAAAAGCCAATATATTAATCATATGTAATGATTTGTGATTGTTTAATAATATAAAATTATTTTACATTTTTGGTGTGTAACTTTTTCTTTTTAATTTATAATCATCGTCAATTTTTGTCTCTAAAATTATGAAAGAAATATTAGTCCTTAATGTCAAGGATTAGTCATTTTGATTACTAAAATCATTTTAATCATTAACTTTTGCTTACATCACTAAATTTAGTTCTTGAGTTTATTCTACACCAGTCAATTTGATCTTTAACGTCAGATACTAAAGTGAGGATAGTTTTTAAATTTAAATACTAAATTAATTAACATAGTAATGTAAGTACCAAATAATTAGTAATGTCAATTTTAAAAACTAAATAAATAAAAAATTATGAAAGCTAGGTTTGTTCGGTTGGAGGAGAGGTGAAGAGAGGAATTTTAATGGACTGAGGAGAAGAATAAAGAAGTTAAAAATTTTGTTTAGTTAAAAAAGAGAGAGAGAATAATCTTAATGAAATGGAAGAAAAAAGAAATAGTTCTTTCCTTATTTGATTCACAAGAAAAGAAAAAAAAAGAAATATTAAAAATTAATTTACCTTTATATTTTTATAATTTAAATTTTAAAAAAATAAATAAAAATATTTTAAACATTACACTCAAAATATTTTAAAATTCCCTTCTTTCCTTCCAAATCCCTCTAATGTGACATTAATAACAACTAATTCAAAAAGCATATATTTAATATTAAAATAATAGTGACAACAAATATTTACTTATATTTATTTAAAGAGAGATGCTGCTTCTTCCGAATCAAGAAACCAAATTTTTTTTCGAACCAATCAAAAGATAACATATGTTAATTTATATAAATAAAATGCTTATTAATATTTAATTTCTCAACCAATATACGGTCAAAATATATTTATAAGATGAATTTCGGATAATATATCATTTTTCTTATTTAAATAAGTATCCTATTCCGGTAGTTTTAAGTTTTAATTATACAATTTTGTTTAATATTTGGAAGGAAAATTTAGATGCTCGTAGTCGTACTTAATATAATTATCTTTAACGAAAGATACATATAATTTAAAAAGATAAGGTCATCCTATTAAACCTAAAAGACTTTTTAAATAATAATATAAAATATTAACATAAGTAATTCAATAATTGCATTATTTAACAATTGATTGGAGATCAATCCTAACTAGCAATTAGAAATATTTATTTCTCAATGAACCAACTTAATGAAAAAGTTATTTGTTATAAAAAAAAAAAAAATATATATATA